AGTAATGTAACTTTTAGGCTGCTCTGAGAGCACAGAGTAAGCACAGCCAGTCTTACTTGTGACCCTAAGACTCATCACCTCCGATGACTCATTCTAATCCATCCTGACAAAGAAACAGACCCAGGACTTATGGAATTAGTTCACTGGGTTTCCAATTCAGATTAGACAAAGTAATTTTCTTAAACCCCTGCAAGTAAAACCTACTAGAGTCATCAATATGGAAACACTGCCATCTCATCAGGAAGAAAATAAGGATTTAAGGCACTCACAGTTGGATCCGCCGGATTGAGCTTGGAATAACCAAGCAAAGAAAGCAGTCGGGCTGATATTCACAGGGAGTCAATTCATTGTTAAGCTCTCCCTTGAGGTGCACAAAGCTAATGAAGTCTGTCCTCGGGTCCTTGGGTGGGGTGTGGCTCCAAGAGTGGGAGCAGGGAAAACCAGACTGAGAAGGCCAGAGGTCCAGATCATCATAGAGTAGGGGTGCTCCCAGGACAAGGATGGGGGACAGAGAGAAGTGCAGGCGTGAGGGGAAAGGGCAGGCTTGAGGGGTCAGGAATCCAGCAGACAGTAGAGAGTTCAGGGACTCGACATTGCTGCAGGCTAGATGGTGCTCAAAGAAACAATTGACACTGACAAGTCATGAGGGCCACGTTTTGAACCTCCAGGCCCAGGTCTCTGATTGCACTCTTTCTGGCTCTTCAGGGAGCAGGGGCCACAACAGACCGGCTAGCGACGGTTGATTCTGAGCCCAGCACCCAAGAATCACAAGAAACACTTGTGCTTCCTCAGTGCACAGCACAGAATTCTGCAGGAGTCTGAATCTTGGGGAGTTAGCCAACAGAAGAATATACCTGGAGCTATTTCGCTCACAGTTTTTGTTCTGGATGCATATCGAATTCTCAAGAAACTGTTTTGTTCATGAAGAGAGGAAGGGAGATGAAAGGGGAAAGAAGACGGAGGACAAGGAGGAAGAACATGAATGAGAGTGGCAGGGTCAAAGGCAGGAAAGAGGGAACGAGATAAAAGAGAAACAAAAAGATGAAAAAAGGAAGGAAAGGAGGAGGAGAGGGAGGAAGGGACATCAGTTTGGTGGGACCCTGCGCATGCGCAAACATGGGCGCGCGCGTCACTGTGATCACCCTAAAGAAATTGGCTATTTTCCAGCTATGCCTACTACCTGAGCCACTCTTTAAAACTTCCTTTGCGTAGGAGCAGATATTGGCTGGGATAACGCTACAGATTTTGGATTAAATTTATGTTGTCTCAAGGTAAGTTACATTTTGTTTTTCTCTGAAACATAATCTCAAAGACAAAGGGTCTTAAGGCAAATGATTATCAGTTAGAAATACTAAAAGTGGTCAGGTTATGGGGCGCCTGGGTGGCTCAGTTAAGCGACCGACTTTGGCTCGGGTCATGATTTCGCGGTTCGTCGGTTCCAGCCCCGTGTCGGGCTCTGTGCTGACAGCCAGCTCAGAGCCTGGAGCCTGTTTCAGAGTCTGTCACTCCCTCTCTTTCTGACCCTCCCCTGCTCATGCTCTCTCTCTCTCTCTCTCAAAAATAAATAAAACATTAAAAAAAAGTTTTTTTAAGTGGTCAGGTTGTGCAACTAATCAGACTGATGCCAGGATACAAGGGCTATTAATATCTCCAGCAGATGGCGCAAGCTGCCCTCTACTATGATGAGACTTCTCCGAGAGAATCAAACAGTATGAAAATAAGCTTCCTCTTCACGTGATGTTTCAAACAGTAGATCCTAACCAGGTAAGGGGTTGGATTAGGAAAGAGATAGTTCAGCAGGGATTCCAAGAGACACTAAGTAAAGAAGACAAATCCGGAGGCTTTTATTTTTATTTCTCATGTTAAGCTGTTTAAAAATACTCATTGACCTCACAAATATTGTTGCATTCATATCATTTTGGGCTCTGGAAAGTTAAGAATTCTTTCAAGACAGAGTTTTAGACTAAGTGCCACAGGACAACAAAGTACCAAAAATTAAGATATCTGCAAATTAATTGGTGAAGGGCTTATAATGGAGAAGGCTTTCCCATAACAAATTAAAGATAAATCAGTTCTGAAGGAAACCTCGAGAAAGGGGACGCTGATTAGAGATTGTTGAGATCAGCCAATGTAGGAATTCTGCTGCTTCGCTAGTTTCTTACAAATAAATACAGCGTTCTTGTTCACACTTTCAGCTTGGGGCTATGCATTTTTTTTTCCGAGCAAACAAACAGTAGAACTGAAAACATTTGCATCCCTGGGGCTGAGGTAACCCTCTTTGGGAAGGCAGGGAACATAATATGTTATCTTTGGAGTCATCTCCAAAATCTGGGATAGAAAACAGAAACTTATTAATTAAGTCTTCTTACGTCTGCCCTCATATGTTTCCAAAGAAACAAGAGTTTGAAATGTTCAGGTCAGTGACTAATTTCCAGTGAATAGCTGCTAGCACCTACTGCCTTCCTTCCCCCACATCCACTGCTGTTTTCACTCTGTGTGTCTGCTTCCCTGTCCATCTGCCACTAGAGCTTTACTTTTTAAAGATATTTTAAAATATAAAAGAATGCATGTGAACAGCAAGATATCTAAAAACACTGAAAGGCATAAAAGAGAAATTTCCCACGACTGAGTAGATATTGGCAACACCTACTTCTAACAAAGAGCTTTTGCCCAGAATAGACAAAGAACTCCTACAAATCAACTTTCAAAACACAAGAGAAACCATGAGCAATAGATTCAAACAGACACTTCACCAAAGAGGATGCTCAAATGGACAATCTCAATTTTGTTAATAACCATCTGTAAATGAAAGCCATAGTGTGCGTGAGGGTTTTAAAGCAAGTCCCCAAACTCTTTGCTACTTCTCCCTTCAAGACATGGAGACTAGTTCCTTTGAGGGCAGTCTAGGAATAAAACACTGGTTTCCAACAGAGAATAAAGCAGATGGAAGTGTGTCATGTCCCCCTCGCCCCCTCTCTTGGATCACTCAGACAGGACCATGGGCTGCCATGTTAGGTGGCTGCTCAAGAGGGCACCTGGATGGCCCAGTCAGTTGGGCATCCGACTTTGGCTCAGGTCATGATCTCACACTCGTGAGTTTGAGTCTCACATCAGGCTCTATGCTGACAGCTCAGAGTCTGGAGCCTGCTTTGGATTCTGTCTCCCTCTCTCTCTGCCCCTCCCCAACTCACACTCTGCCTCTCTCTCTCTCTCTCAAAAATAAATAAACATAAAAAAAAGAAATATGCAGGTGGCTGCTCAAGGAACCTTAGGGAGGTCAACATGGTGAGCACCTGGGGCCTCTAGCCAAACTCTGAGTAAAAGACCTTAAGCAGAACTGCCCTGCTAAGTCTCTCCCAAAGAAATGGTGACCAAGAAAAACTGTGAGATAATGAATTTCTTAAGCCCCCAAATTTGGGGGGAATTTGTTATACAGATGATGTATATACCAGGATGCCACTGCACATACACCAGAATAGCTAAAATTTTTACTAAAAAATTCTTTTTAAGTTTATTTATTTAATTAATTGAGAAAGATAGAGACAACATGAGGAGGGGAGGGGTAGAGAGAGACGGAGAGAGATAGAGAATCCCAAGTAGGCTCCGCACTGTCAGCACAGACACCAATGTGGGTCTTGAACTCAGAAACGGTGAGATCATGACCTGAGCCTAAAGCTTAACTAACTGAGTCACGGAGGCGCCCTCGAATAGCTAAAATTTTTAAGTTTGACATATAGAGAACTGGATACAATGGGCAAAATGGCAACTCTCATTGCACTGCTGCTGGTGGATGTGTAACTGGTGCAACCATTCTAGAAAACCGTGTGCCTGATCTACTAAAGTTGAATATATGCATATCCTATCATGCAATTCTGCTTCTAGGACTCACCAACCGAAAAGCACACACCTTAGGCATTGAAACTCATGTACAAAAATATTCACAACAGCATCACATAATAACCCAAACTGAAAATCTGCCAACGGTATTTGGATATATCATAGGTGGCGTGTCCACGGAGAGATAAACAGCAGCGACAATTCATGAACTATCGCAGCCTGTACTAAGACAGCTAAGTCTCACTCCCATGATGCTGAAAGAAATCAGACACAAAAGAATTAACCCAGAATAGATTCTAGAGTCAGCAGGCAATAAGGAGAGAGACACCACACCAGCTATCCCAATAGAGAGGATGTATCATAAAGAACGGTTAACTAGTACAAAGATATTAACTAGATGATTAAAAGGCAACAGCAGGAATCAGGGAGATAGCTACTACCCCCTAGGGCTGGGGAACAAAAAGAAAAAAGTTGGAATTCTGAAATCCAGAAGCTTGGAGGCAGCTTCCCCCCACCCCCGCTCCAACTGTCTGGTGCTGGGAATGGTGCGCTCAGACTGGTTCTCAAAGTGTTGCGAAAATTAGACTCAATGACCGCTACAGGAAGGCGCTGCCATCGCGCGCATTGGGGGCGGGGAACAGGTTGCTAGGGTGACGTTGGCAGGAAAGGGGGCCAACAGGAAGCCAGCCGGAAGAAGCAAGTCCCTCCCCTCTCTGGCGAGCTGCAGGTTCTCTCCAGCTGGTTTTGAGGGGAGTCTGGCGGATCAAAGGACAAGGACGGAGGGATGGGGTTGGGGCGGTCTCGCCCCCAGCGTGAGGCCAACTGGGAGCTGGGTCTGGAACCTAGAGGCGGCAGCCTGAGAGCTGGCACAGAGGGCATACATTAAGGTTCAAGAGCGAACAAAATGGACACGTGGCGTTAATGTTGGGTCAGCGATTACCTCGGGGTGGGGACAGAGAGGGGTAACAATTGGGGGAGCCCTGAGCACGTCCACAAGGGGAGCTTCCGAGGTGCTAGGGACATCGGACATCGTATGCGTTCACCTGGGCGATGGGCATACCCGTGTGTGGGCAGAGCCTTGCGTTAACGCCCCGCTTTCCGGTTATAAAAGGCAACAGAAGGTTCCAGGAGGTTTCATTCGGTGTAACCCAGTGAGTACTTACTGAAATCTCATCTAAACGTGAAGATGGGCCTCTTCTTGGAATGTTCCCCTGATTCTTTTTTTTTTTTTTTTTTGCATGGATCCCTTCCTCCTCTGAAGTCTTAGAAAAGTCGTCGACGGATTTCACGATTTAACGCGAATTGGTGTCGTGTATTACATCCAAGGTGCTAGTTTCCTCTTCCCAAAGAGGTGATAAACCTGAGGCCCATAAACTCAAAACCTCCGACATGGCATCGCTCAGGACTGAACTCAGGTGCCCATAAATCAGTTATCTGTTATCTAATAATCAGCTCCAAACTTAACCGAAACGCCGAGGAGTTGAAGCAGCCTCATTTGACACCAGGTAACAGATGAATATATGAAAGAGATCACTGTTTCGAGTTTATTAGGAAAAGGAAGGCCGAAAGATGACCCTGGTAAAAGTGTACCGTCTTCAAGGGGGAAAAAAATCCTTTTATGAAAAATTCTGTTTTCCCTATGATCTTGAAAACGAAAACGCCTCCGCCGGCTTCCGGCACGAGAACCTGAGCGTCTGGGCCGCCGCAGGCGGTGGGTCCCACGCGCGACCTTTGCCCCACTTCAGGCGGCGGCATTGACGCTTCTCCCCGCGGGCGGCCACGGCCCCTTTTTCCTCCTGGCTCAGTCTCCACTCAAGCTTGCACTTGACCGGGCACTCATCACTTGACTTACAAAGCCGCTCTTCACACGTCAGCCGGGCTATTTTTAACGTCTCCCCTGGAGATCCCCAAACTAAAAGTACCGCGGGGCGGGGCCGCCGCTGCCCGGTCCCGCCGGTCTCCACGCGGCAGGCTGGCCAGCGAGGGGACCGTCCCCAGACTCCCCGGGAGAGGACCGCCTCCACACCCCGGAGGGAGGACAGTCGCCAGACACCCAGAAGGATGACCCTGGGAGACTTCCTCCAGACCCTGGGGATCGGCTCCCAGTAGCCCCCGGAGGGGCTGCCCCCACCCTGTCCCGCTCTCTTCCTCCTGGGCGTGGCCGCCGCCGCCTTCCTTCCACGCTCTCCCAAGGAAAGGCCGCCCTCTCAGCCTCCCTGCATTCCCCTTTCCCAGGACTGACGATGGCCCTCTGCCCACCCTTGGGCTGCCCGGAGGCTTCCTCTTTAATGGCCAAGGGCCCGTAGTAGGACTTGAGTGTCAGATTTCTCACCCCTCCCCCGCGTCTGTGCCCTGCCTTCCCCCAACCTATCACCCAAGGGGGGAGGGGGGGGTAAGGCGGAGATGGGGGAGGAGCGCACCTAGGTATGGCTGCCGCTTGAATCGGGTCCCGGACCCTTCTCGGCTGTTGTCCCTGGGCAGCCTAGGCCAGGGGAGGCTGGGACAGGTTCAGGGGCCTTATATGGCTCATAGAAAGAACGTTCCAGGACTTCACCCTCCCATACCCCACCCAGCCAAGAGCCTACAGAGGTCAAGAGTCTGATTTGAAACTCACGGGTTAGGGGCGCCTGGCTGGCTTAGTACATAGGTCATGTGACTCTTCATCTTGGGCTTGTGAGTTCCAGCCCCACCTTGGCTGTAGAGATTACTTAAAAGAAATCTTGGGGCGCCTGGGTGGTTCAGTTGGTTAAGCTTCCCACTTTGGCTCAGATCATGATCTCTGGGTTCCTGGGTTCAAGCCCTGTGGGTGGGCTCTGTGCTGACAGCTCAGAGCCTGGAGCCTGCTTCAGATTCTGTGTCTCCTTCTCTGCCCCTCCCCCACTTGCCTTCTGTCTCTCTCTGTGTCTCAAAAATAAATGATAAGAAAGTTTTTTTCAAATAAAATCTTAAAGCAAAACAAAACCCTCATTGGTTAAAAAGCAAGCTCTTAACTATAGAGGACAAACTGATGGTTGCCAGAGAGGAGGTGGGGGGGTGGGGGGGAATGGGTGAAATAGGTAAAGAAGATTAAGAGTACGCTTACCATGATGAGCACTGGACAATGTATAGAATTGTTGAATCACTATATTCTACAACTGAAACTAACACTGTATGTAAACTATCCTGGAATTAAATATTCTTTTTAAAATAAATAAAACCCACTGGTTAAGAAACTATTAATGTTTTTTCTCTAGGAAGGAAAACTGGGTGACTGGAAAACGGGGTAGGAGGGAGACTTACTTCATACATACTCTTTTTGACCTTTTGGATTTTGTGTCATATGCAACGTTCCTATTATTAAAATAAAACCTTGCTTTTTATTTGTTCCTATTGTTTTCAAGTTTATTTATTTTGAGAGAGAGAGAACAAGTAGAGGAGGGGCAGACTGAGACGGAGAGGGAGAGAGAGAGAGAGAGAGAGAGAGAGAGAGAGAGAGAATCCTAAGCAGGCTCCACTCTTTCAACACGGGGCCAAATGAGGGCTCGAACCCACTAATCATGAGATCATGAACTGAACCAAAATCAAAAGTCGGAGGCTTAACCAACTGAGCCACCCGGGTGCCCAAAATAAAACCTTGCTTTTTAGTTGGGACTGTTGCATAGGTATGTTCAGTTGCCGACAATTTGTTGAGTTCCATGTTTAGGGTATATGTACTTTTCTGAACGTATATATACCTCAATAAAAAGTTTTTAAAAATCAAATAAAATCTGTAGGCAAAGAATGGAGCGCAGGCCACCATTGTCCTTGAGAATGTCCTTGAGTGCAGCCCTTTGTGCCCTTGAGAAGCCATCTAGATGTGCTTGGACACAGACTAGCTCCAGGCATCCACGGCTCCTGTTCTTGTTTCCTTCCTTCTCTTAACCTTGGAGTCCTCCTGTGTGCACATTCTTGGTACATTCCTACTTTCTAATCCCTCTGTGAAGCCAGCAAAGCCTGGAATGTTAACATTTATATTTCAATGGAAAATCATTCATAGCAATTCAATGACTCAATAAATAACTCTGTCCCAGATTCCTGCCTTTTAGTTGGAAGGCATTGTTCTCTGTTAAAAGCATTCCCTGCTATAGCACTTCAGTTAGAGAGATTATATGTCAGAAGTAAGGGGACTTTTTTCTGCTCCTACAATCTCCTGGGGAATTATAACATGAGTAAATCAGGTTTTGAAAGCAAACATGCTGGGGCGCCTGGGTGCCTTAGTTGGCTAAGCGTCCAACTTTCGCTCAGGTCATGATCTCACGGCCTGTGGGTTCCAGCCCCGCATCGGGCTCTGTGCTGACAGCTCAGAGCCTGGAGCCTGTTTCAGAGTCTGTGTCTCCCTCTCTCTCTGACCCTTCCCTGCTCACGCTGTCTCTCTCGCGCGCCTAGAAATAAATAAAACAAAAAAAAAAATTAAAAAAAAAAAAAAAGAAAGCAAACATGCTTTAGCTAATATAGCGGATTTGCTGGCACTAGAATATAATCCCAACAAGGGCAGGGAAGCTGGAGCCTAGAATGGGGGCATGGCACGTAGGGGGAACTATCTCGCCTGTTGAATTAATGTTTGTAAGTGAACTGGGCCAAAAGTGACTAAAAAGGCCCGTCCACTCTCTTCTCTCTTTATGCCACCTGCAGGTTCACACACTACAGTACCAAAAATGCAGTCAAAAACCAAAGTGCGGTTTGGCATGTTAAGAGTTCATTTGTAAGTGTTAATGCCTGATAGTCGCAAGGCGTCTATTGATTTTGTTATTATGAGAGATGTGAAAGCGTATTTACATTTCAGTCTTCTACGTCTAACCCCATAACTGGCTCCTAACGGAGTGTGGTGATTGCCAAACAAACCCGGAAAAATGGCCAATAAGACACATAACAATTTTAAAAGAGCAGGCAATCCCAGTGAGGGTTCCAAGATCTAAATAGGGGCACATTTGTGTGACAGTAAGGTTGGATGGTGTGATTTAATCAAGTTGTTGGGGAAAATAACATAAAGTATGACGCACTGAAGAAGGCGAGAGGATATGGGTATGTCAGATGAGAGAAGCTGGTGGCTCAGAAAAAAGAGGGAAACATTGAAAACCTTATTTTACATCAGATTGCTTTAAATAAAAATAGTACTCACTGGGGCGCCTGCGTGGCTCAGTGGGTTAAGCATCCGATTCTTGTTTCAACTCAGGTCATGATCTCATGGTTCATGAGTTCAAGCCCTGTAAAGAGTCCCGAGTCCGAGTCCGGCTCTGCGCTGGCAGCATGGAGCCTGCTTGGAATTCTCTCTCTCTCTCTCTCTCTCTCCCCCCGTCTCTCAGCCCCTCCCCGACTCAAGCTTCCTCTCTCTCTCTCTCTCTCTCAAAATAGAGAAATCAACTTTTTTAAAAAAAGGAGTACTCAATAAATAAATAAAGATAGAGGTAACATTAGACACATAAATGTGAACTTATGATATTTTCTAAAGTGGCCAAAATCAGTGTCACGTCCCCAGGGCCTCTCTGCTTTCAATCATAGTAGCTGATTCTGTGTTGTGAGAGAGGGAAGATGAAAATCAGCTTGACACAAGTTGCTTGCTGTCAAAGATACAGCGCTTTCATGACTAAAAAGGAGCCCATTAAATAAGGCACTCCCATGGGCTACACCGTGATGATGTGAGCATTGAAAAGAAAACAATCATTCTGTAAAACCCATGAGTCCATTAGGACCTCAAAAAAGGCAAACAGTATGAGGTGTGCTTCAGGAGAGCTTTATATACATTTCTAATAACGGGTTCAGAAAATGATGTGTATCGATAACCCCTGATTACATACCAGGCTTATATTTTGTTTGGTATCTGATGTCAAGCAGTGTGCATCCGGGCACGGAGAGTCGATCCGCAGGTGCAAGACTGACTCCGGGATGCTCTGAGGGGGATAGGGGACCAGCTAGAGGGAGGTGGACCCACACAGGGGTTAACTGTTATCAGGGGGGAAAACCCATAAAGGCAAAGAAGTGAGCTACCAGGAGGTAAGGAGGTCTTTGGGAATAAGGGTGCCACCTGACTTATTGGGTCCTTGTTCTGATCCTGAGACCCCAAACCTGCTCTATGGCCCTGCAGGCCCAGGGCCTGGGATGTGGGATCCGACCCGTGGGCTGATAATCACATTTTAACTCTGGGATGAAGACGGAAATCAAGCTATATTATAATACGGGACTTGTTTAAGTTGTTAATATAATTGTGGTAGCAAGTTTAGCAAATTGCAATATTTTATGTATGCTTTGGCTGCTGTTAGGATGTTTGATAGGGTTAGGGAAGCTGATTTGTTGGCTTCTGACATTTGACGTATTAGATGGACAAAATAATACGTAAGTGTGCAGGGCGATTTTGCCCCTGAGAATTATAAAAACTCTCAGTCAAAGTATTTGGAAGGGTTAGATAGTATACTCATACCTATAGCTTGAACGATCTAAGATAATTTAGTCAAGTTTGGAAATGCTGCTGGTTAGGGGAATTTGATCTGTCAAATTTACACACAAATTCAGTGCTGATTAAAGAATAAGGAGAGGTGCCTGGGTGGCTCAGTTGGTTGAGTGGCCCGCTTTTGATTTTGGCTCAGGTCATGATGTCACTGTTAGTGAAACTGAGCCCAGTGTTGGGCTCCAGAATGACAGCATGGAAACTGCTTGAGATTTTCTCTCTCCCTCTATCTGCCCCTCTCCCACTCACGTGCCTGCACGCTTTCTCTCAAAATAAATAAATAAACATTTTTTAAAATAATGAAAAGTTGTATTGACTTCCTAACATCGTTGGTGGAAAAAATGAGCACAATTTATCAACTGAACACAAAGATTGAACAACATTTTGTTTCTAATTTTATAATTTTAGTTATTACATA